AATGAATGCATAACGATGTTTTTGGCTTGTGTAACCATTAGCCAATCAGCAACCAAGGTAACCCCCCCCCCCACCTTATCACCTGAATCTCCTCCTAGAGCAGGGGTTCCCAAAGTGGGGGTCGCGAGATGATTACAAAATTAAAATAAAAAAAATAAAAAAAAAATAGATTAATTTTTTCTATAATTTTTTTATAAAAAAATCGTCGACAGGGGGTTGCCAGTCTCTGGCACTGTTATTTTGGGGGTCACAGGCTGAAAAGTTTGGGAACCCCTGTCCTAGAGCACCATTGTGTTTTCATCACTTCTCAGAGAGGCGTGGCCAACACTCCAGAGACATGTTTTGTATATATCTGAGAACTATAATATATTGTTCAAAAACAGTATAATAGGGGACCTTTAAATTACCAATAGGCTGATACTATAACTGAATTCATTATTTATGAGAAACTCACCTGTTATTTTGTCGATCTTCTTCAGCAGCTCCCCCTTTTCTCTCCGCAGGATATTGTGATTGGTTTCCAGCTGATTGTGTTCCCTCTGCAGAGATTTAAACCTGGTTTCCAATTGTTCTACGTATTTCCGTACTGTATTGTAGGACTTAGTGTAGTTCTTTTGCAACTGGTCCTGGTTCCTCATCACTAAAGAGTAATTGCTCTGTAGCTGATCCCTGTTTGCTGTCAACGTTACAAACAAAGTCTGCAACTCATCCTTGTCTCTTTGGAGGCGACTGTAATCGCTCTTCAGCTGCTCTTCACTTGCTGTCAGGTTATTCTGAATAGTCCGGAACTGATCGCTCTCTTTTTTCAGATCGTTAAAACCGGCTTTGAACTCATCCCTGTCAGCAGCCACAGAGTTGTAACTGCTTTGCAACTGGTCGTGGTTGGTCTTCAGTGAAGTGTAATTGCTCTGTAACTGATCTCTGGTTGCTCTCAGTGTACTAAATGAACGCTGTAACTGGTCTTTTTCTCTCTGCAAGATATTCTGTTTGATGGTTAGCTGCTGCTGTTCCCTCTGCAGAGCGTTATACCTGGTCTGCAATTGCTGTTTGTCTCTCCTCAGTAAATCGGAGCTGACCTGAAGGAGATTTTTACTCATACTTTGTATATTGTAGCTTCTCTGCAACTGGTCCTGGCTCTTCTTCAGTGAAGTGTAATTGCTCTGTAGCTCATCTCTGTCTGCTGTCAGCGTAATGAACTCAGCCTGCAGCTCATCCTTTTCCCGTTGCAGGCGACTGTAGTTGGTCTGTAGCTGGTGTGTTAGATCATTTTGATTAGTCTGAAACTGATCGCCCTTTTGTTTTAAGATGTTGTAACTTACTTGTAACTGGTCCTTCTCTGTTTGCAGATTGTTGAAACTGGCCTTGAACTCATCTCTCTCAGCAGTCACAGAACTGTAACTAAGTTGCATCTGGTCGTGGTTCGTCTTCAGTGAAGTGTAAGTGCTCTGTAGCTGATCTCTGTTTGCTCTCAGCGTGCCAAACTCAGTCTGTAACTCTTCCTTTTCTCTCTGCAGCTCACTGTAATTGCTTTGTAGCTGCTCTTTACTTGCTCGTAACATGTCCCTTTCGTTTCCCACTTTGTTGAAACTGACCTTGAGCTCATCTCTTTCAGCAGTCACAGAATCGTAGCTCTGGTGCAACTGGTCTTTTTCTGTCGTCAGGTTAGTCAGTCTGGTCTCTAACTGTTTCCTCTCTGCAGCTGAATTATTATCACTGCTCTGCGGTCGATCTTGAACGTATCCGGACTGCATTGGGTCTCCTGACGCTGGATGGCTGAATATCTCATCTGTAAAGTGCAAATAAATTAAAATGATTTGCTTAGATTATTGGATTTATGGCTTTTTGTCTATTTTCTACATAATCATTATCAGGTTTCTCAAAGTTTAATAGCCAGATGGCAGTTACAAAATATATAAATGTTTACATTTCACCATGGACGCGGGAAGGGGTGGTGCTGAGGGGGCTGCAGCACCCTCATCCACGAGGCTCCAATAGCACCCCCAAACGCGGCGCACTCTACAGTGTACGCGTGCCACAGTTTCGCTGGTCACAGTTTTGACGAGCTCGTCACAGGCTCCACTAGCCCCGCCCCCCGCACCCCCAACTCAGAGTGACTTGCCGCGACCCTGCATTTCACTTACAGTAAATAAGTTGTCCGATGTTTCCAGCCAGCAGGACGGCACACAGTAACCCCAGACACACAGACACACATCTAGACGGCTGCTTTCTCCTCTGGAAATCCACTAAATCAGAAGAAAACAGTTAAAAGAGAGGGAATAGAAACACATCATATATCTTTACACCATATATAAAAGCTTTTATAAACTGCTTATACAGTAGAGCACAAATTAGATTTACATGGAAAAGATTATTTATTGTAAAAGTAAGTTGATCAAAGTCAACTTTATTGTCAATCTTTCAGTTTGTGCGTACAGACAGAGAGATCGAAAACCGTTTCCCACAATCCCGAAATACAAATATGTTCAATATGATGAATAGCTAAGTTTACAAAAGCACTTCATATTTAGATTTTCAATATGTTTTTAGGTCGATAATGTACCTTTGGTGACGAGGCCTTCCATTGAGTGGTACCTATCGATATATACGTTGTCATTAATTTCCATTAAGTCCATTCTGCTAAATATTCCTGTACAGAGAAGACATGTATAGATGTTTGCAAAGCTACACATACACACTTATTTAGACATAAGAGTTAGGAGACATTTTTTACAACATTTTCTAATCAGTGTTTATAAGTATGCTCCAATGAATTATGTGTGCTCACTCGGGCATGACTAAATGCTTTATATTCACAAGTGTGCTTTCTAGTCAGATGTGATATTTACATAAAAATCCTGCTTAATTCATGCAAATATTCCCGGTAACACGGGTACGCATTTAAATGAATTGCAAACATCGAGCCAACATCTATAATCTCATTTGCTTTTGGAGTGCACAAATTAACATGGCTTAAGTTATTCCAAGTAGAAACATTTCAATTAGATGATTTAATATCATGATAATAATAATAATGTGAACAAGCACTACAAGCTGAATCTGCAAAACACTCACTTAAGGTAAAATATGACATAGTGGAAATGGGAAAAAGCCTCTAAAAGTGCACTTACCTTGGATCTGTGGAAGTCAGAAGAAGTCCGTATCAGTACGACTGCATTCACATGAAGTTGCTGCTGCTTATTTATTACAGAAACGGCAAAAATGAAAGCTAATGCAGCGATATTTATTGTGCACAAACAGGATGCTCTTCTCGTCCTGTCATCAAACGTTTGACTTCAACGTATCTCTGATTGGTCTGGAATAAACTTGACCTTTATGTTCACAGTCTCAGTTCAGATTTCAGGTCATTCTCGGCCAAAATCATTCAAACAAACAGACTGGAAGTCACCATTCAGGTTCAGTTGCCGCTGAGTGGTTATCTCCCAGGCCCCACACTTTCATCCTCTGTGCTTTCTGTTCCCTTTTCCCACGGATTAACTTCCTACTGAGGTCAAATGACAGAGTGTTGCATGACTGAGGTACAAGGTAAGTCATAATGCAAATATTAGCAACAAAATGTGCAGACTCAGCCTTGCTGTGCTTGATTTCAGTTATTTAGCCACATAAACATGAAATGATCTGTGTTACTTTTCGAGGAGATTTATTTACAGTATCATCGCCTATGGTGGCCGACAGGTGCAAACACACTACAACATCTCAAACATTTCCATTAGGAGAAATGTATGGCAGTTTCAAAAACGATGCAAATATATACACAAATGTCCCAAAACTCAGCATTTAGAAAACATTTACCAACTTGACAAAGCAAACAAAGCATTTACTGGAAGCGCAGCAAATACTAAACATTGGCAAGAAGCTCAAAACACAACTGGGACTACGCAATCGTAATATACTACCTTGTACTTTGGCTGTAGAGTGACGCCTACATTAGAATGTCCGCTTATCGTCGCTACAAGTGGGCGTTCCCAATCAGCGAGTGAGCTGTCGTGACCGAAATTCACCTGTTTTAGCACTTTCATTGGTTCTTCTGCACTGCTAATCCAATTGGCGCCCCATCTCGTAAAGTCCTATTACGGTTAGTCTCTCGTCTCAACCCGGCCCAGAACGATACCCCCTTTTATGTGTGTGTGTTGTGTGAACGATTACGATTGTGTGTGTGTGTGTGTGGCCGTTGCGATGTTGGTAGATGTCCCGTGTGTGTTGTGTGTTAACCCGTCTAACGTGTCTATAGTCGCTATCCGTCGTCGCCGTTAAACGTTGAACCTTTATATTGTGATAAAGTTAAACACCCCTATTCTCCTGCCTTTTTTTAGTTTTAAGAAATGCCATTTGCTACATTGACACACGTCCTGTCTTTGCGTATAAACAGCGTGTAGACTTACTTGTCCGTTACGTTAGAGGACTCGTGATGATTACATGTTACCCCCGAGTATTTTTGAATAGCGTCAGCCCCCGGTCTGGGTGGTAGAGTTGCGTGCAGCCGGTCACGGATCAGTTGTTTACAGATTTCGCTTATAGAAAACACAAAATAACAAGCGTAACGTAAAGTATTACTATTAAACCGATGTTACCTTACCCTACAACATAAAAAGAGAATGACATGTTTGTCTTTCGGTTGTGCTTGTTGCACATAAAAACAACAATTAATAAACAATTTCAATAATTTCATTGGCAACAATCTTGAATCAATGAAAATATTAAATCATTGAATTATTTCCCATCCGATCAAAGAAAAAACTCCCCTTGGTCACTTTTATATGATAATGATCTCAATGAAAAATATTTCATTGAACGGCGTTGTGACCGACTTTACATTCAAAATGGCGGAATAAATTGTACACAGTCATACTAAGGAAGAACAAAACAACGTCTAAGACGACATCGTCGATCGATCGATTACAATTAGATTAGATTTCCACGTAAGAGTTATATAACTGTTCCCCCCTTTATGAATGTTAATCACCTTTGTCTGATTGAGATCGGCTGTCATATTTAGGAACTCCATGTTTTTTTGGAAAAGCCCGTCCCCGACACACCGTAGANGTATGTACATTCTAGAGCAGGGGTTCCCAAACTTTTTCAGCATGAGACCCAAAACAGAAATGTTGTGGTCCTAAGGGACCCAAGCTCAAAAAATGTCATGATTTTCCATAATATCTACAGTTATAAACAAAGAATGCAACACACCATGAATTTAAAATGTAAATGAAAATATTTATTTAATTATAAAAGTGCATCGCAGCAATTAGGCTTCTCACCATAACACGTAAAAGTTGAAACACCGCTCTATGCCGCTGCAGAATGTAGTGGATTCGCGGTCCGTTCCGGGGCTCAGTCAGCATTTCATCCAACTTTGCATTAACGAAACAATTTCACAACAGACCCTGACAAACTCACAAACACACAAATCAAATGATTAAAATGAGTGACTTACTTTTCCGCCGTCAAAACACTGCTTCTTGAACGACTCTTCTTTGCAGAGGAAAAATCCTTCGATTTGTCCCGATGCAGAGGATGTTTTGTTTGGAGATGCCGGTCCAATTTATTCATTTTCAAGCTTTCGTTACTGAGCACCTCTCCACATAAAACACACTGAGGCCGCTCCTCTCCATTTCTAACAGCTTTTGTGAAGCCAACGTTTAAAAACTCCTCTTTGTATCGTCTTTTTGCCATCATTTACGATCGCGATTAATCAACAGACAATAAACAATAAATAGACGGCGCGAAAACTTTCGCGGGGGACGCGTCAGAGCTGATACAAATACAATCTTTTATTTTTAGTTTATTTGTATTTAGAAAATCAAATCATTCAATATACAATGCTATATTGCATAATTTCATTTTCAAAATAAAAAATAAAATACAAAGATTATAAATAAATTGTATTTGCAACGCAGCCATCAGCTCTGACGCTGTGTGTGTGTAGCAATGCATTTAACTGGCGACCCAATCAAAACGGGTCCGCGACCCATTTTGGGACCCTGAGTTTGGGAAAGGCTGGTCTAGAGGTTTCATTTTCCAGGGTATTGTCCGTTAAATACTTAAAGAAGGTATTTTCCAACTCATGCAGGAAGTGTGGCAGCCGATCACGTGGTAACTGCCGCAGTCTGTGTTCAAATCATAGGTTCAAACACTTTTGAATGGGCCGCGATGTCGTCATTATGTCCATTATGTCCACCCGTGGTAAACTGTGCCAGGGTCATGCCAATAGAGTGCAGCAATGTTTTTGACGCCTCAATGGCAGACTCATCTGCTGCGCTTCGCCTGAGGCCTTCGAGTGCTCTAAAAACTGCAGCCTGGTCAGGATCCACTGCTGTATGCCAGTCTTTTGTGTTCCAGAACTACCCTAAGCTCTCCTGTACCGGGTGTACTGGGTTCACAGAGAATCCCACTTCATCTTGAGCTCTTTCTCTGAAGCACACAAATAAACAATTTAAGCATCGTGGCTAGTTAGCATGTCCAATTCATATCTAGTGCCAAACAAGTAACAACACAACACAAGGTTGAAACAACAAATTATATTTAACGTTAACGTCACTGTACGCTGGAAAACAATAACAAACCAACAGTTTCTGCTAAAGAGCTCAATTGTTGAAAAAAAAGAGAATCTTACCTGATAAACCACGTTGAGTTTCAATCTCTCACCAGAGTCCGGTTTTCACTATTCGGTTCGCGTACCGTTTCTCTAATTTCGAACAGAGCTGGCCTCTCCTGGATTAAGCTGATGAGTTGGTCTTCGGTTCCTTAATTCCAGATCGCCATGATGAAAAATAAACTCTTGCGTCCAGGTGAGATGAAAATAAAAAAGAATAGCCGTCTGTGTGTGCCTTCTTAAATCGTTTGTTTACGTCCCTCACTTCCGTTTCGCTTCTCATGCACTGATTCGCTAGCTGAACAGCCAATCAGAGTCATTTATTTGACCGACAGCCTTGGGCCGATTGCCTACGGATTCGACATGTCGAATCGGTAGGTTTTCGGGCAAAAAGGTGTCGACATGGCCGAAACGACTCGACGGTGCGGGACGCACCAATCTGAGTAGGGCGACAGGACGCTCATCGTCGGCCTGACATCCATCGACGGCCAAAATCAGGCCTTAACATTGTAGGCTCTTATAATCTACTAATCCAAATGGGGAGACATGAAACCCTGAAAGTACTATAATGTTATACTTCTTCACACAGCACAGAGGAGTTGGTGGCCCCTTTGACACTGGAGAACAGAGTTCATATTTGGTCTCATGCACATAAACTTGACCTCAACCAATAGAGGTCATGACAAATATAAACTTTATATAAGTTTGTCTGAAAGCTCCCAAGACATTTAGTAAGTTGGGTAAAAATGTGAGGCAGTGGTGGTAAATGTCCTTGATCATGAAGTGGAAACCAGGTCAATGAGGCAATATTTTAAAACGTTATTAATGCAGTTGTGTCCTCTGGGACGAGCAGCCTTGCTCTGAAATGGCTTGTTTTTTTAGCTGCATTGCTTTGTCCTGTCCTATAAGAAACAGAACGTATGATTATTTTCACCTTACTCGTGTTTGTAATCATCGCTATCACTCATCCTG